GTCTGGCAGATAACCTCATTTTCAAATGCTCCTTCAAATAAATGTCTGTGGTGTCTGCTGGAATGTTGACTAGCAAAGTGAGACAGGAAAAACATGGAAATATGGGAGCCCGAGAAGGAAAAAGGTTCCTTATGAGTGTATGCGGAACTGGTCTGTCTTATGCTGAGTCAGCATACTTCAGGCATCACTAACAAGGCCAATTAACTTACAGGGCTGTCCGTGACGACGACGAAAAACTGTTTACTTAGAATGGAGATGATCCATACTGGTAAGGGCACCCTCTCCTGTTCCCTAAAGGTAAACAATGTCCCTTAAAGAGTAAATTGTACAGCTCATGTTCACAAAGGAAAAAAAGTATTAACTTTTAACACTGTTACAAAGTACACCCTTTGAGCCGGGCGTTGGTGGCGCACGCCTTTAATCCCAGCACTCGGGAGGCAGAGGCAGGCGGATCTCTGTGAGTTCGAGGCCAGCCTGGTCTACAGAGTGAGTTCCAGGACAGCCTCCAAAGCCACAGAGAAACCCTGTCTCGAAAAACCAAAAAAAAAAAAAAAAAAAAAAAAAACCCAAAGTACACCCTTTGAGCCCTGTTTAAAACAAAAAGGATTTCACAATCTCGGGATCCACCTAAATCCTAAGCCCATTTTTGTAAGAGCAATTTTTAATCTGACAAGCGCTGTCCCTGTGCTTTACTCTTCTGGACGCGTTCTGTTTAACTAGTAAGCTCAGCTTTGCTTTATACTGGCTGCCTCTGAATCCTTTTCTTCGTCGAAGCCGGGCTTTGCCTTGGTGGAAGTCTCCAAGCTGTCCCCATAGCGCCCACCGCCGACAGGATCACATCAGCTTGTGGGTCCCGCCTGGGTAACAAAAGACCTCTGGCTTCAAATTAACCAAAGAAAACCAGCACCCAAACTGTGTAGTGCCACCTCTGTCCTCGGGCTCCTAAATCTGCTTCCTTCGCCACCACGGGGAGCAGAACCGCTCCTGCGAGCAGCGAGGCGCCGGCCGCGCCCTGGCGGCGCCATTCCGCCGGGCGAGCGCGGGCGGCCTTCGCCACCGCCATCTTAGGTGCGGCCGCTGTCGCCAGGCCTGGCAGCCGGGCCGCCCTCGCTCACGACGTCCCGGCGGCGGACACCGTCCCCAACACCAGCCAGAAACCGGAGATCCGCAGGGCTGAGCAGAGGCCGCGGCGTGTGGCTCTGCCCCGAAGGGCCGAAGCGGGGTCGACGCGCAGACACCCAGAGAAGTCAAAGGAGCAGGCGGCGGGCCGCGCCAGGACACCAGGGGGCCCCGACAGACACTGCGTCTTACCTTTCCGCAGAGACTCCAACCTCGGGCGCAAAGCTCGCAAGGCGACGGTGAAAGGGCACAACGACCGCGACGAGCTCCCTGCACAAAATGGAGACCACAGCCGCAGCGCAAGATTCTTCTCGAAAACACTGGTGACGTGAAGGGGCGGGGCCTTCCCTGCCCTGAGTGCGCATGCGCGGGTCCGTCCCGAGAGGGTAGGGGAGGTCAGGAAGGTGTAGGTGGTGGCCATACTGGTGAGGTTTCCTGAGAATTCTAAACATAGTTTCCTGCTCACAAAAAACAAAAAAAAGTCTGACTCTGCGAACACCAGAAACAAGGAAAGCGAGAGAAGCAAGGTGAAAAGTAGCACTTGCTCTGATTGCAACTTTTTTTTTTTGGTTTTTCGAGACAGGCTTTCTCTGTATCGTTTTGGAGGCTGTCCTGGAATCCCGGACCTGGCTCTGTACACCAGGCTGGCCTCGAACTCACAGAGATCTGCCTGCCTCTGCCTCCCGAGTGTTGGGATTAAAGGCGTGTGCCGCCACCGCCCCACTTCCCACAAGCTTTTTTGTTTAGTTGGTTCTTGTTCTCATTGCTCCGTGTGTTTTGGTTTGTTGTCATTCCCTGCCCCCCCAACCTTTTTTTTGTTTTGTTTTGTTTTTTGTTTTTTTTGTTTTTCGAGACAGGGTTTCTCTGTGGCTTTGGAGGCTGTCCTGGAACTAGATTTTGTAAACTAGGCCGGTCTTGAACTCACAAAGATCCGCCTGCCTCTGCCTCCGGAGTGCTGGGATTAAAGGCGTGCGCCACCACCGCCCAGCTACCTTAATTTATTTTTATGTGTATGGAATTTTGCCTGCCCATGTGCCCACAGAGGGTATAATCTTCTAGGACTAGAATTACAGATAGTTGTGAGCCACCTGTGAGTCCTGGGATTGAGCCCAGGTGGGCGGAAGAAAGGTCAGTGCACTTAACCACTGAGCCATCTCTCCAGCCCCCCCACCTTGTTTTTAAATTCAGTCCAAGACCCTGTCTGAAGAATTGACCCATTTAGGGTAGGTCTCCTCAAACCAATCAAGACACTGTCACAGATATGCCCAGAGCTTTGTTTCCATGTGATTATAAATATTCTGGGCAGTGGTGGCCCACACCTTTAATTCCAGCCCTCAGGAGGGAGAGGCAGGAAGATCTCTGAGTTCAAGACCAGCCTGGTCTACAAAGGAGGTCCAGGACAGTCAGGGCTGTACAGGGAAGCCAGAAAAAACTTCCCCCTAAACTCCTTAAGTTTACCTTTTGTCCCATATATATCTCTGTTCCAGCAGATTTCCAATCAATTAAAGACTACAAACTGCTCCAACTGCTACTATCATGTCCCTAGCCCTAGATGGTCTCACAGAGCCTGGACAGTGACTGAAACAGCCTGTTCCTCCCAGCCTTGGCCAACATTCCAGCTTTTTGGGTCCCCAACAATGATGGCCCAATGTCAGTGGGAAGTAGTCATAGGTGATTAAATCATCACTTACCATTCATTTATTATCAACAAAAGGGTTGGGATGTTATGTTCCAAACCCAGGCCAAATGGCTGAGGTGCTTACTTAACATATCCAAGTGGATCTAGCCCCCAGGTTCTCCTAGGATTCCTCAGTTCCTACCTGCTACAGGGTGATTCACATACTCCACCCTCTATACTGAACTCTCCAGCCTAGGGGCTGGGCTGCCCCTCCCCCAAGGCTCTTCCCTAGAGCCTTTTGGCTACCTGTCCTTTGTACCTGTGGTCTCCTGGCTGCTACACTCGGTTCCCCTCTCTTTTCCCCTCTCCATCATGGACCAACTCAGTCTGGTCATGTCCACTCTGGGCTCTCCCAGATGTCCCTGCCTCTACCTTTTTTTGTGTAGTAAGCTTTCTCCTTCACCACACTTGGAGCAGTCATGTCCTCTCCTTTCGTTTTTATTTCTTCTTTTCATTCAACCAGCTGCCTGTTGCCTTGATGGAGCCCTTGAACAATGAGCCAAATGAGCTCCCTCTGTGAGCTGCTTATCTGGTGTTTTGTCACAGTACCCAGAGAAGTCACTGTGTTGTTGACTTTGTTCTAGAAGTGCATCACCTTTATTACTACAATCTGTACAATTTGTGTGTGTGTGACAAAGTTTCACTCGTATAGCCCACAATGACCTTGAAAGACCCTGGCCCAGTCTAAACAGGCAGCTGAGGCTTATGGAAAATTCCGTTTCCCCCACAGCTGAATAGTCATTGTTATCAGAAGGGAGCTCAGCTCAAGGTCCTCATGGCTGAATAGTCATTGCTATCAGAAGGGAACTCTGCCCAGGGACACAGGTGTCTGCATAGCCAGCCCAGCAGGGTTGAGCAAGCACAGAGACCAATTGTTCTTCAGATAGGGCCAAGGCCGAAACTTGAGTTCCAAGAAAAACCTCTATTTGCCCGCGCTCTGAGCCCTAGCCTCATTTAAATTGCCCAATCAGGGTCCTGTTACTAGGCTTCTCGCTTCTGTATTGCGCTTTTTGCTATAAAAGAACCCCTGAGTCCCCAGCTCGGGGCGCTCAGCCCCCCCCCCCAGACTGAGACGCCCGGGTACCCGTGTGTAAATAAAGCCTCTTGCTGTTGCATCCAAGCTCGTGGTCTCGTTGTTCCTTGGGTTCGGGTCTCCCTCCCGTGAAAGTACCCCGTCTGGGGTCTTTCAACCTGAACTCTCTATATAGATCAGGTTGTCCTCAAATTTGTGGAGATCCTACTGGCTCTGCTTCTCCTGTACTGGATTACAGGTATGCACCACCTCAGAAGAAGAAGAAAGGAATTCATATTCTGAATCTTGATTATCACAGTGCCTATATTAGACCCACAGTGGGCGCTAATACTCTCTATTATCTTCTCAGCTATAAGTGGACAACCATCGTTATAAGAAGACTTTTCCCATTTCTTTTTCTTTTGGACAAAGATCACTATGTAGCCTTGGTTGAACTAGAATTCTCTATGTAAACCAGGCTGGCCCTGAACTCATTCTGTTTCCAGAAAAATGGGAGTAAAGCTGTGTGAAACCACTCCAGAATAAGTTCTTTTTTGTTTTTCGAGACAGGGTTTTTCTGTGGCTTTGGAGGCTGTCCTGGAACTCGCTCTGTAGACCAGGCTGGCCTCGAACTCACAGAGATCCGCCTGCCTCTGCCTCCCGAGTGCTGGGATTAAAGGCGTGCGCCACCAATGCCCGGCTCAGAATAAGTTCTTAAGAACCAAAAAGTCAATGTGTTTTTAAAAGTTGGTAACTAAATGTGCAATCACAGCATTAGGGAGACAAAAGATGGAGAGGAAGCCAGCCTGGGCAAGCTGCCAACATCATTTCAGAACCACTCACCACCCAAAGACACAACAAAAACCCCAACTGCTGCCATAGAAGGGCAGACTGGCTGGCTTTCCACCCACATCCTTAGCAGGGTCCTCCTCCATCCTGTCTTCAGTTAGCATTTGCTTTGTAGCCCAGCCAGGCCTCAAATCCATGATCCTGCCTCAGCCTTACAAGTGCTGGGATTATAGGCATGTGCTACCTTAACAGGCCAGCTTTCCTCCTCCTATCTGCAGGAAGTGAATACTGAAGGGAAAACAGGACTTCTAGAAAATAGATTAGAATGGCTGTAGTATGTAATTTGGGTGTTCAAAAAGTGCCTGCATCTGAGATCAACATTTAAAAATGAGTACTCACATGTAATACAAACAAGGCAGTGCTTTGTATTTAAATTAAACATATTGAACAACAGTAGGGTTGCAGAATATGCTCAGGACTGAGGGGTGACGTGATAGGTCTCCTAGATGGACATCATCACTGTAAACACCAGAAGGACCACAGTCTCTGACATAATCAGAACTGGACAAACCACAATGGGTGTGTTCCAGCGAAGAGTTTGCTAAGGATCTCTCCAGGCCTTTTTTTTTTTTTTTTGGTTTTTCGAGACAGGGTTTCTCTGTGGCTTTGGAGGCTGTCCTGGAACTTGCTTGGTAGTCCAGGCTGGTCTCGAACTCGCAGAGATCCGCCTGCCTCTGCCTCCCGAGTGCTGGGATTAAAGGCGTGCGCCACCAACGCCCGGCTTTGTCCAGGGCTATTATTATAGCTACTGCGCAAATGGATTGGCATGGATAGTTATGTCCTTAATGTGCACATCATTAAGAGGTCTGTATGTCTTCTCATTGACTGGTAGCTTCTCCAGTTCATCCAAAGTCTCCAGACCATCTATTACCCTGAAAGAGAAACAATGCAGTATGTGAAACTTTTCTCAGCTGGAAATACAAAGTATCTATAGCAAGTATAGTCTCCAGTCTGATGATGTGGCCACAGGATTGTGCCTCCTGGACACAAGTGGCAAAAGGAAGCCTCAAGGTCAGTCCCATCCACGAAGTCACCAAAATTCGATGTATTATAAAAAAGCATTTTCCCAGGCCGGGCGTTGGTGGCGCACGCCTTTAATCCCAGCACTCGGGAGGCAGAGGCAGGCGGATCTCTGTGAGTTCGAGACCAGCCTGGACTAGACTTTTTAACCTACATTTTCAGGCCATTTTCGTGCATTTCCACTAAGATATAAAAGAACATGGGAACAGTCAGGCTTACTGGCACATGCCTTTAATCCCAGCCTGTAGGAAGAAGTGGTAAAGGCAAGCAGATCTCTGTGAGTTCAAGGCCACCCTGTACTACAGAGTGAATTCCAGGTTGGCTGGGGCTCCACAGGGAGCCCTTATCTCAAATAAGCAAACAAAACCACAAGCAAAGCACACAGAGAAGAAGTCTAGGAAGGATGACAAGGACTGCGCCTTTTAGATTTACTCCTACATTAAGACAATTAAGTTCCGTAAATTATCTTCTTATCTGTATGAAAAACAGAGAACTTGGGAAATTCTGAGCTTCAGTACAAAGGGGCAAGTAGACTTGAAGGGTCCAGGATCTAGAACATGAGGTCCTTAGGAAACCACAGAAAGTTTACATGTGTCTTTCCAGAAAAAATGTGTGTACAGATACAACTTCAAGTAGTTTAAGGGGGCTGGAGAGCGGTTCATTGGTTGAGGGCACTGGCTGCTCTTGCAGAGGCCCAGGGTTTGGTTCCCAGCACCCACCTGGCATCTTACAGTTGTCTGTGAATAGCTCTTGTTCCAAGAGGCCCAAAACCCTGCCGGACCCCTGCAGGCACCAGGCTGCATATGGTGGACATAAGCTCAAACATCAAATAAATAACAAATAAATTTGAAAAAAAAACCTAAAAACCAAGTAGTCTATAAACCCAAGACTAAGCTTTACAGTTTTGTTTAAAATTTGGTAAGATAAACCGGGAATTGGTGGCTCATGCCTTTAATCCCAGCACTCAGGAGGCAGAGGCAGGTGGATCTTTGTGAGTTCGAGGCCAGCCTGGTCTACAGATGGAATCCTAGGACAACCTCCAAAGCCACAGAGAAACCCTGTCTCAAAAAATAAAACAAAACAAAAAAACCAAACAAACAAAAAATGAAGAGACTCAACTGTCAGCATGCAGACATGACTAGATGCCCTCAGTCTAGTGCGCTAGTATATGCTAAGCATTTGGAACACAAGCAAACAGTGGGGAACTCTAGTTTTCAACCTAACTTAACAACCAAACCACTAAATGAAAGTCTAGCCATACATGGTAACTTACAACTGTCATTATCTCACAACAGGGAAAGCTGAAACAGGAGGAACATGAGTTAAAACTTAAATAAATCCCAGTACTCCAGAGCCATTTTTTTATTATTGAGCATGATAAATACATGTTGAGTGAGTAAATTTCACCTCCCATTGAATTATAAAAGCAACTTTAAGTATTTATAATGCAAAGTTCAGCAGAAACTGCCAACTGATCCTAGGATCAGTTTTCACTCTGGCACACTTTACTGATGGCCCAATCCACCCAGCTGAAAAACACCATTTACTCTCCCTTATAGGTAAGGTGTGGCCACACGGTCAAGTTCTAGATCTTCTGGGAAAGTTCTTTATTTTCAACTCTTTAAAAAGTATGTTTGTTTATCTATCGTGTGCTGTTATGGATGTGTGGAGAGGCCAGAGGATCTCTGTGGAGTGGGTTCTCTCCTTTCGTGGGCTCCCGGGGTCAGGCACAGGTTGTCAGGTTTGCACACATTACAGACAAGTGCTTTCTTTACCTGTTCAACCACCTCGCCAGTGGAAAGGTGTTTAAATTTAGGCTCTTGGTCAGCAAGAATCTTTAGTTTTCCTCCTTTGCCTGACACATGTTCTGACTAGCTGTGCTGCCTGGATAACCATGAGGTGAGCCTGAAAGTGAAAACCAATGATGGCTGAAAAGCGAGAGGTGCGGGGGACACTGGTGACAGTCACCATGCTAGTCCATTTCCTGTAAGTCACTATTTTCAGATACTCTGCTTGCTGTTAAATGTTATTCTTAATGAAAACATATGTCACTATTAATTTGCACAACATACCTAAGCAATTCTTTGGTTCCTCTAAAACAAAATAAGGAAAATAAAGCTCAGATAGTGTGTATCTTCCTCAGGGTAAGCTGATAACTGGTGGGTCTAAAGTCCAGGTATTTTAGCCGTCCAACCAGTCTTTCTAGTACACTGATGTGCCGAAGAAAGAGATGACTGAACACTCACTTTCCAAATACTGTGTATTTCATGTCCAGATGTGGTTGCTTGCCATAGGTGATGAAGAACTGAGATCCATTGGTATTTGGTCCATTATTAGCCATAGATACAACACCTCTAACGTTGTGCTAAAAAAGACAAACCAATGTATTATTTTTTTTAAAGATTTATTTATTTACTTATGTAGACAATGTTCTGCCTGCATGTATGCCTGCAGACCAGAAGAGGGCACCATATCTCATTAGAGATGGTTATGAGCCATCATGTGGGTGCTGGGAAATGAACTCAGGACCTCTGGAAGAGCAGCCAGTGCTCTCAACCATTGAGCCATCTCTCCAGCCCCCAAGGTATTCTTTAACTTTGCTGTCAACTGCAAATTCCAAATGCAGACTGAAATATTCTCTACCTTCCCAATATTCACGGCCCAAGAAATGGTTTAGCTGGCTTCTCTCTCCTACTATTAATCAAATGTGAAGGTCATGTATTATCTTTATCCCTGATAGCTTGAACATGATTTGCTTATATAATCACATATCTCCCAATCAATTTCATTTTCATTTTGGAGAAGTAGTCACAAACACATTTATTTCTATCAATGTATAACAGAAAAAATCCTTACATTTGTATTAAAGAATAGTGTGCTTGAATGAAGAAATGATCAGGCAACAAAACCCAAGTCCACCAAATCTCTTCTTGCATACTGAACTCTGTGATAGTTTCTTTTTTCTTTTTGAGACAGGTTTTCTCTGTATTGTTTTGGAGACTGTCCTGGAACTAGCTCTGTAGACCAGGCTGGCCTCGAACTCACAGAGATCCTAAAGGCGTGCGCCACCAACGCCCGGCCTGTGATAGTTTCTTGATCTGTTGAATTACTTGGACTAGTTCTGGGGTCTGTTCAAAATGCAGATGTGCCAGGTAGTGGTGTATGCCTTTAATCCCAGCACTTGGGAGGCAGAGACAGTAGATTTTGGTGAGTTTGAGGCCAGCCTGATCTACACAGTGAGTTCGAGGACAGGCTCTAAAGCTACAGAGAAACATTGTCTTAGGAAAGAAAAAAAGGAAACAAACAAAAAAACCTCACCACCAGCGCCAACAAAAAACACAGATGCTCACAAGGGTCAGTCAAGCAGATTGAAAATGACAACTGGGAGAGATGGAGTCTGATAAGTCAACAGTGTTATCTCTTGCCCAAGGATTTTTTTTAATGATCATAGAGAATGCATCAATGAATCTTTCTCCTGTGGCCAGTCAATCATTTATTACCCCAGGACTGGAAGATCTAAGGAAGGTCTCACCTAGCTCTAATATTATCAATACTACTAGTTTACAACACGTGGTATATAAGTATTGAAAGTATCTCACAAAGATAAGTCTGAGTTGTGCCACATAGTGGTACCCAGTAGAAAACAGCAAAACACATAACTAACCACTGGTCACTCTAGCATTAGCTGTTCATCAGGTGACACTCGCTAGAAAAGTTACATCAAACTAGCTCATCATTATCTCTGTGGGAGATGACTACTAGTCAGGTGTGGTGGCACATGCCTCAGCACAAGGGAGTTGAGGGAGGAGGAGTTCTAGTTTGAGACCAGCCTGAGTCACACAGTACAAAGACTGCAGTATGAGCCAGGGGGTGATGATCGCACACCTTTAATCCCAGCATGCAGGAGGCAGAGAAAGGCAGATCTCTGTGTGTTCAAGACCAGCCTGGTCTACAAAGCTACACGAGAAAAACTGTCTCACTTCTCCTCCCCCAACCGCCCCTGAAAAAAAAGAAACAAAGACTGTCACTACTGAATATGCTAAAGTGTTTTCATTTGATCTTAATGGAATGTGTCTCTTGGAGTATATGTACAAGAGCTCCTCTGGCATATATAGCATATGAACCTTGACTACCCATCCTCAACTCTGGTGTGTAGCACAAGGGTCTCTTGTAGCCCTGGCTAGCCTCAAATTCATTATGCAGCTGAGACTGAATTTAGGACTCCTGATCCTCCTGCCACTCCCTCTCTAATGACAGGATTATAGGTATTAACACTACACCTTGTTCATGTAGCTCTCGGGATTAAGCCCAAGGCTTTCTGTCTGCTAGTCAAGCATTCTGTCAATAGAGCTATATCCCCAGATCAAGAAAAAGATATAGCTTTATTGTGGAATACTAATGTGTTACATTTGTTTATGCTGTGGAACATTTAATGATGCAAAGATGTGCTACATTCTTTTTTTTTTTCTAAAGATTTATTTATTTATTATGTATACAATGTTTTGCCTTGCATGTATGCTTGTTTACCCGAAGAGGGAACCAGATCTCATTACAGATGGCTGTGAGCCACCATGTGGCTGAACTCAGGACCTCTGGAAGAACAGTCAGTGCTCTTAATGTCTGAGCCATCTCTTCAGCCCCTGCTGCATTCTTTTTTTTTTTTTTTTTTTTTTTTTTGGTTTTACAAGACATGGTTTTGTTTTGGAGGCTGTCAGCCCAGCCTGGCCTCGAACTCACAGAGATCTACCTGCCTCTGCCTCCCGAGTGCTGGGATTAAAGGCGTGCGCCACCAACGCCCGGCCTCGTATTGCATTCTTTTATGTTGCATTTGTTTAACTCTGTGAAGCTGTGTTAGTAACTATGCCTCTCTAAAACACCTGATTGCCAAAATAAATAAATTAAATAAATAAAAATAAAAAACAAAAGGAAAAGAAAAAAAATTAGAAATTAAGCCTGGTGGTGGTGGTAGTACCCAGCATTCGGGAGACAGAGACAGGCAGATCTCTAAGTTTGAGGCCAGCCTGGTCTACAAAGTGAGTTCCAGGACAGCCTCCAAAGCTACAGAGAAACCCTGTCTCGAAAAACCAAAAAAAAAAAAAAAAAAAAAAAAAAAGTGTTCAAGTGTAACCAGAAACACAGGGATATACCTTTAGATATTCACTATATTCGTCCTCAAACTTCTTGCCCCAGATACTGCTGCCTCCCCTTCCAGTACCTGTATAGCAAGACAAGCAAATCAAAAGAAGCATCTAATTAGACTTCAATGGGGATTTCATTTCGAAAACGGGAGGCCTGCTTTGTACCATATATTTATTTATTTGTATGGTGGTAGGGATCCAATCCAGGGCAGTAAACATGCTAGGCAAGTGCACAGCCAAAGAGCTACATCTCCAGCAGCAGACCTCTTTAAAAACAAGTGTGTGTGTGTGTGTGTGTGTGTGTGTGTGTGAGAGAGAGAGAGAGAGAGAGAGAGAGAGAGAGAGAGAGAGAGAGAGAGAGGCTAAAGTTTGAACACAGGACTTCATGTATGTTACACAAGTGTTCTACCACTGAGTTATATATCTCCAGCATTCCATCTTTTTTTCTCTTTAATTAATATTTTGAGGTAGGGTTTCCTTAAGTTATCCTGGTGACCTTGAATTTATAACCCTCCTGTCTCAGTCTTCTAAGTATCTGAGATAACAGACCCACGTACCATCTAGCCTCTAGCATTTCTCCCAAACTAAAGATACAGACCAGAAAAATAAAATCCTCCCAACAAGGAGAAAACACCCCTCATTATACTGCCCATATTTTATAGCTGTGGGCTATTCCTTCCTTCTAAAAAATATCTTGCTGCAGGCTGGACCAAAACCAAGTACATTAAACTGAAAACAGGGACTAGAGAGATGGCTCAGCCGGTAAGAGCACTTGCTGAGCTGAACAAGGAGGACACCGATGAACGTCATAAACTGCATGGGGAAAGCCCACGAGGGCTGGACTGGCAACTGAGTAATGCTGGGAGCCGGAGAGGTGGTCTTCACCACACCAATGTTTGTCCAGTGCCAAATGCTCAGCCCTGAAGACACTTATACAAATAAACATACAGACTCAACAGGTTATACTCAGTAATATATATTTGTCTTAGGGTTACTATGCTGTCATGAAACACCATGACCAAAAACAACTTGGGGAGGAAAGGGTTTATTTCACTCACAGTTCCACAGAACAGTTCATCACCAAAGCAGTGAGGGCAGAACTCAAGCAGGGCAGGAACCTGGAGGCAGGAGCTCACGCAGAAAGCATGAAGGAGTTCTAACTGACTTGTTCCTTGTGGCTTGCTCAGCATGCTTTCATACAGATCCCAGGGCTACCAGCCCAGGGGTGGCCACATCCCACAATGGGCTTGGCCCTCCGGCATCAATCACTAAGAAAATGCCCTAAATGTTTGCTTACAACCTGATGTTATGAAGGCACTTCCTCAAGTGAGGCTCCCTCAGTGATTCTCAACCTTCCTAATGCTGCAACCCTTTAATACAGTTGTTGCGGTGACCCCAACCATAAACCTCTTTCATCGCTGCTTCATAACTGTGATTTTATTACTGTTATGAATTGTGATGTAAATATCTGTGTTTTCCAATGGTCTTGGGTGACCCCTGTGAAAGGAACCTCTGCTTTAGCTTGTGTAAAGTTGGCATAAAACAAGCCATGAAAATATGTACCTACAAATACATACATGCATGTATAGAAAGAGAGGCCATAAGTTTGAAGGAGATCAAGGGTGGGTACATGGGGGACTTTGGAGGGATGAAAGGAAAGGCAGTAATGTAGCAATTAAAATACAACCCCTAACTCCCACCAAAGAACACTTGCTGCTTTTACAGAGGACGTGTTCAGGACATGGTTACTCAAACCACCCAAATTCCAGTTTCAGGAGATCTGATACCCTCTGATGACCTAAGCAGTCACCAGATATGCAGGAAGTACACTTATATACATCTAGACAAAATACTTTTAAAATAAATACATACACTTTTTTGGTGGGTGTTGAGACAGGGTTTCTCTGTGTAGCTCTGGCTGTCCTGAAACTCATTCTTGAATTCACAGAGATCCCCCTGCCTCTGCCTCCCACATGCTAGGATTAAAGGCCTGCACCACCATAGCCTAGCCTAAAAATAAATACATCTTTAAAGAAACAGAATCCCTAAACTTCTCTGCGATTGTCAAAGTAGCCTTGTTATACAGACTCCATGTTTTTCTATTTTGTTTTTTTAAATAAATTTTTATTTGTATTTTATTTACATTGATGTTTTGCCGGAATGTCTGTGTAAGGCTGTCAGATTCCCCAGAACAGGAGTTACAGACAGCTGTGGGCTGCCACGTGCATTCTGGGAATTGAACCTGGATCCTCTGAAAGAGAAGCCAGTGCTCTTAACCACTGAGCCATCTCTCCTGCCCCCCAGACTCCATGCTTTACTTTCAGTTATCTTAAACATTTTTTTCATTTGACATGTCCAACCTTCCTAATTTAAGTTAGTGGAAAACTCACCTGTTGGATCGCCTGTTTGAACCATGAAACCCTTGATGTTCCTATGAAACACACAGCCATTGTAGTAATTACTGGCACAAAGAGCCAAGAAATTCTGAAGAAAATAAAAACAATGATTGAGAAATAGTTTTGGCAGAAACATACTTCAGATAAAGGTCTAGCAGTTAAGAACACTGGCTGCTCTTCCAGAGGGCCCGAGTTCAATTCCCACGCATCCACATGGAAGCTCAGTCCATAGCTGCTGTTCAGGGCATCTGACACTTCATACAAACATCCATGCAGGCAAAACACCAATGCACATAAAATAAAAGTAAATAAATATTTTTTTAAAAAGGTCCAAAGTTTCTGAAAATGCTATCATAGCATATTTAACTCTGACTTTTAGGCTTTAGTTGCTCTCTTCTCTAGGAATAAGTCAATAAGTCTTCAGCAGGCCCTGGGAATCCCTGCATGAACCTGTCCTGTACTCTCCGTATCTTAAGGGCTTGTACTCTTTTGCAGTCAATTTCCTCCCCTTGCCTTTCCCAGCCAGAGTATTAGTGCACTGAGGGCAGGAAAGGTCTCCTGCTCATCACTGTATCCTAGGCAGGGTTGGATAGTCTTTTGACAAATAACTGCATGAATGAAAAATAGTTGACTCTTCCTCCATTTATTGTTATCATTTCAATAGGCTAACTACAGAACAACTCTCTTATATCTTAATTACAATTCCTGAAAAAATGAGGAAAAAGAAAAAGATATTGGACTCATTAAGGGTTACAGGAAAAGCACCTACCTATTTATATAAATTTATTATGGTATGGTATGTATGCAGCATATACATTCATGTGTGTGCAGGTGAGGGAGCCCCTGTGCATACGCAGAATCAAGAGAAGGATGCGTATCCCAATCTGTCACCCTCAGTCTTTTTCCTTTCAGATAGCATCTCTCACTGAAACTGGAGCTAACTGGGGTAGAAGGCCCTGTAGTCCACTTATCTGTCTCTGTGTGTGTGTGTGTGTGTGTGTGTGTGTGTGTGTGTGTGTGTCCCACTGGGGTTACCAGTGAGTGTGACCACCCCATGTTTTCTGTGAGTTCTGGCAATTTGACTCTGGTCCTCAAGCTTGCATAGCAAGCACTCCTCCCTGCTGAGTCATCCCCCAGCTCACCCTCCTTTCTGTTATTTAACTATGACATTGGAGGTAGAAATTAGACCTGCAACGACAGTAAGCTATTCTGGATAGTGGGTTCAAAGAAAGGTTTCTTACTTTCTAGGCTGAATAATTCAATTCAAAGTGGCTGCCCTGTTATATCAGAGTGCTTTGTTTAAGGATGGGTCTCACTATATAGCTCTGCTGGCCTGGAACTCACTCTGTAGACCTCAAACTAAGAGATCCACTGTCCTCTACTTCCTGAGTGCTGGGGTTAAAGGGGCACACCACCATATTAGCTGATTTTTGGGGGGAAGGGGGAGATTTCCAAGACAGGGTTTCTCTGTATTGCTTTGGAGCCTGTCCTGGAACTCGCTCTGTAGACCATGCTGGCCTCGAATTCACAGGGATCCACCTGCCTCTGCCTCCCGAGTGCTGGGATTAGCTGATTTTTAATATGCAAACAGTAATACTCACCTCACATGTTTTGGGTGTCCTCTCACAGAAGACTTCTATTTTGATATCTCCCACATCTGTGTGCAATGTCACAGACTAAAGAAAAGGAGAATGTGAGAACGTGATATTTATTCCAGTAACTATATATAGGTTCTGTATTATTTCTCTGACTGGATATTCAAGATGGCAATCTGATTAAAGACATTAAAGATGACTTGTTTGAACAAAGAGGCTCTGACACATAAGTCATAATCATTCTCCAAATTTATATCAATAGCAAGAAAAAAATTCTAGAAGAAAGCCAGGCGGTGGTGTCACACACCTTTAATCACAGCACTCAGGAGGCAGAGGCAGGCGGATCTCTTGTGAGTTTGAGGCCATCCTGGTCTACAGAGTGAGTTCCAGGACAGCCTCCAAAACAATCCAGAGAAACCCTGTCTCAAAAAAACAAAAAAAAATTTTTGGATGCAAACATTATAGTCAAAAACTTATTTTTACTTTGAATTTGTTATGATTTATTAAAAACAATGGCTACTTTTTTTTTGCTTTGAGACAGGGCAGCCCTGGCTGTTCTGAAACTCACTCTGTAGACCAGGATGGCCTCAAACTCACAGAAAGCCTCTGTGATTAAAGGAGTGTACCACCCCTACCTGGCTTTTATTACTGATCTTTATGTCTCAACACCATTAATATTTAACCGAGAAAATGTTACGGAATTGATTTTTCAAAAACTGCTGCCACCATTTCCTTTAGGTAGTTTAGTTTTGAGAAACAGAGTTAAAAAGCAATTGCTTCATTTGCTAAAAGTTGTCAGCAAATCCAAGTCCTAGTTAGTGGAGCTGGCCACAAGGCTTTCTCACTTGCCTCTTCTTTTCTTGTGGTGTGTGTTGCTTGGTAATTTTACTTCTTTTTTTTTTTTATTTTTGAGGCAGGGTTTGGTAACTTTACTTCTTTCCATTGCTTATTTCACAGACAAACAAACAAAAATCTACTGGAAATTTCCTTTTTTATTTATTTATTGAGTCAGGGCTTGCTATGAAGCCTGGGTTGGCCTCACAGTGGTAGCAATCCTTCTGCCCCAGCCTCCTGTGCCTTCTTCTTGCAACAGTATCTAGGAGTGAGTGTGTCAGGCTGAAGGTGAGGAGAAGTGCTTCACAGAGGAACAGACGCCACTCTCCCTGCCATTCTACCTCAGGGTCTACCTGAGTTGCTCAGATCCGAAGGGAAAGGGCACAATCTGTTTGTTTGCTTATCCATTTCTTTTCCTGTTTTTTTTTTTTTTTTTTTTTTTTTTTTGAGGCAAGAGTGTCGTTATGTAGACCTGGATGGCCTGGAACAGGAACTCCTGGAGACCAGGGTGGGTGTTAAGTCAACCTGAGTGCTGGGATAACAGACCTGTGGAACCACCCTACACTCGTACACACATCTATCTCCCTCCCCTAACTCCCTTCCTCTCTCTTCCTAGACAAGCACTCCACCACAGAGCTACACACTCAGTCCTTGCCTGACTTCCTAAAAAATGTTCACAATTTAAAAACATGTAATGGGCTGCAGACATGGCTTGCCAGTAAGGAGAACTTGTGGCTTTTACAAGAGAACCTGTCAGGTTCCCTGGACCTGCTAGTGCCTCCAGTTCCAGGGAATCCGACGGGGTAAAAACAAGCGAACCACCCAGTTACAAGAATTCTACAATACTTACCATCCTCCCTCTTGATGGTTCCAGGAAGCCTTGCAGAGAAAAACTGAAGGTGAGTTTCTAATCCTAAAAGAGGAATTAGTCCATTTTAACCCTATCTTTCCCACCACACTTGTTCTTCTTTATGGTAGATTTACAACCAAAAGCCTATAACATCCTCTAAATAAATCCTACCACAGAAGTGTTGAGATCCTACCCAACGCAACAAGCATCCCCCCTACCCCCCCCCCGCCCCCCCGAAACACTCTACTTATTTTGCTCATTTTTCTTCAAGGCTCTTACGGTAGGCTAGACATAGTCCCACCTTCCGGTCGGTTGGTCTAGCTAGGCACTGGCGCACCCTTTACCCGGACATCTGTACAATAAATTTCACACTTCACAGTCTTTTTCAAATCCCAGGTCTTACCCTTTTCCCGTAAACCCTCTCTATTTGCTTTCCCTGTGGCAGTGGTCACTAGTAACAGTACATTCTTCAGTCTAAAGTCCCAGAAACACCCTCTCCAGCCCGAGAGTTCACGAGTACCCCAAGAAACAAAACGGTGCCAACGTGGGGTTCAGCATCGAGCGCACGAACAAAAGGAGAAATAGCACGCATAGGAGGATAAATGCCGTTACCCCACACTTGCCCACTTCGCTCAGCACCGCCGCTGCGGAAACAGGAAAGACTCAACCTCAGGTGCCGGCATGCCTGCGGGTTCCAAATGAGAGTTTTTGCCCCACCGGAAGTAGAGCGCGGGGCCCTTTGCAGAGAACACCTACTTCCCCGTCAGTCTCCCCTCAGTACCTCACCTCTCCGCCCCCCATCTAACAGCGAGAGGGCTCTCCAGACAACCACACCAAGGAACAACCCGCTGATGTCCCTGCAACCTCATACAGCGCTCTGGAGTCGGAAGCAAAAACGCACAGGACCACTTCCGCCCAACTTCTTTCCTACATTGCTGGTAACTTCAGGGCGGAGCGGAAGTGACGCACAGGAGAGTTTTCTGGGACTGGTGAGTAGTGGGCGAGGGAAAGGCGCGCGGGGCTATCTGTTCCTCTCGCAGAAGTTGCACGTCAGGGCGGGCTGTAGCGATTACAGGGTGCCACGGAGGATGAGATAGGAGAGATTGGGGCGGAACACTGCCTTGCTACAGGAGGGGCGAGGGTCCTGACTCAAGGATTAAAGCTGTGCCACATGGCCCTTGATTATTCTGGAAAAGACCTTGAACCAGCTCTTTTACTCATATGCTTTATGCCTCAAAGTGCAGAACTGAGCTCTACATAAATACCATTTCCTGTGCTCCGACTCCAGACACGGTTTTACCTGGTTTCTGTATGCTGTCATCCGCACACCTGGTACCTACAAGTGTCCGGCTGGTCCCGTCCTGGATCTGCAGTTCTTCTCGTTCCTTCATGGATCTGAAGGCTCTGCTTTCCTCCTTGAATGACTTTGCATCGCTCTCGTTTGCTGAGAGTTGGGACAATGTGGGATTACTGGTGGAACCAAGCCCTCCCCATACTGTAAATACACTCTTCCTGACCAACGACTTGACCGAGCAGGTCATGGAGGAGGCTCTGCAAAAGAAGGCAGATCTCATTCTCTCCTACCATCCACCGATTTTCCGGGCCATGAAGCACGTAACTTGGAAAACGTGGAAAGAGCGCCTGGTGATCCGGGCACTGGAGAACAGGGTCGCCATCTACTCTCCCCACACGGCCTATGATGCGGCACCCCAGGGAGTCAACAATTGGTTGGCCAAAGGGCTTGGTGAGAAACCTCGTGTCCTTCAATATTTAGTGATTTCGTTACAAATACTTTAAAGTTTTAGAATGTCTTCTTAGTTAAGTTTTCATTGGTAGAGGAAATGGGTTTTTCTAGTTTTATATAGTACTAAAAATAACGTGTTGCTTAAATTTGGTAATTAAGCTTTCTTTGGAATGTATTTATTTTTATATCTGTGGAGTGTTTTTGCCTGCTTGTATATAAGTGCCCCACATGTGCACAGTGCCCACGTAGGCCTAAAGAGGGTGTCGGGTCCTCTAGAGTCAGGGTTACAGTCAGTTGATGAAGGGCTCCAGCGTGGCAAACATGGTGCCAACAGGTTTTGCTTTTTACCTCTCTCCTGCTTGCTAATCTGTTCCATTACATGCCTAAAGCTAGCCCCTGGAATCCACTCCCTTATTTGGCCGATGACTCATTCCAGAGACAAAATACCAAGGTCCAACAATCAAAATCCATTATTTGGCTAACGTGTCCAGTCAGGATTTACCAGCTCCCCCAAGTGCAGACTCCCCTTTTTCTCCTTAAAACCCACTCCTGCAAAAACCACCTGCTTTCTTGCTTGCTTGTGTTGCTCTGGCTGCTCTTGCAGCACCCCCCCTCCCGCCCCTCCAGACTAACAAATCTCCTTTGTGTCTAGAATTTGGTGTATAGTTATGTCCTGTTCTGACTTCAAGGGGGCCAACCTCCCTTACAGCTGTGAAGTGCTGTGTGGATGCTGGGAATCAATCGCAGGATCTCTGCAAGAGCAAATACTGTTCTCCACCACTGAACCAGCTCTCTAGCCCAAGTTTCATTTGAAAAATGAACTATTTATTTATTGAGACTGAAGAATTGGCTCAGCAGTTAAGAAAACATTTTGTTGCTCTTACAGAGGACCTGGGTTCCCAGCACCCACATGGAGGATCACAGCCATCAGTAACTCCAGTCCTAGGGTCACCCATGCCCTCTTCTGGCCTCTGTGGACACACTCATGGTGTATACACATAATACAGGCAAAACACTCATGCACAATAAATAATGAGATAAATAAATCTAAACAAAATCTTTGAAAAATAAAGAAAATTGAAACATTGTAAATTAGGCTTGGTGCAGTATAAGTCTGTACTCCAAAATCTTAACACTTTTAAGAGTCCAGGAAGTTGAGTCAGGAGCACTTGAGTTTCAGGCCAGCCTGAGCTATACAGTCAGTCAATGGCTATATCGAATATCATTCTACCAAAGCTAAAACAAATCTTGGAAGAGTTGTATTTACTAGTGGGTCTCCTGTAACTCAGGCTGGCCTTGAACTTTATGTAAAGGATTGTCCTAATTTGGTTCTTATTGCCCCGATAAACACCATGACCAGTAAGTAGTATCTTGAGAAGGAAAGGATTTGTTTCATCTTCTGTCTCGAAGTCCATCATGAGGGGAGACTAGGGCAGGCGCCTGCAGGCAGGAACTGAAGTAGAAGCCATAGAGGAACGCTGCTGACTGGCTTGCCCCTCGTGGCAGGATTAGCCTACTCAGGGTCCTGGGTTTTCCTACATCAGCCCTTAATCAAGAAATGCCCCACATACTTGCCAAGTGGCAATCTGACTGGGGCATCTTTTTTCATTTGAGGCTTCCTTTTCCTAGGTGACCTTGGTTTGTGACAAGCCGACAAAAGGTAGCCAGCGCAGGGAGGGATGAGTAAGCAGAGCGTGAGTCTTCATTGCTAGGTGGCTTCTTCATGACTGTTCAGTCAGATGACATGGTATCAGTACCCTGGGCTGTGTGAATCAAAGCTCAGGACCTTCAGGAGATGCATTCTAGGTTAGTTACATAGACACTAAGATTTTTGTTTGGTTTGTTGTTTTGTTTTTATTAATTTATTTATCTTTGCTACTATGTGTGACTGTGGGATCACACATTTGTGGAGGTCAGAGAACAGCTTTCAGTTTGGGGTCTTTCCTTCCATCGTGGGTTCTGGGACTGAACTCAGGTCATTAGGCTTAGTATCTCACTGCCCTCCCCCACCCTACCAGAAGAAGGGCCTTACTTTGTAGTTCAGACTGGCCTCAAGCCAGAGAGTCCCCCTGCTTCAGTTTCCCAGTGCTAGAATGAGAGCCACACCCAGCAGAGCATCAGGATCTCACTGAGTGCCTACATCCAGCAATGAGTGTTTTGGAACTCATTTTGGGCTAAAGCATTTTGTTGTTGTTTGTTTGCTTGGGTGTTTTGCTTTTTTTTTTTAAGATAGTCTCACTATGTAGCCTTGAGCCTTGACTGACCTAGAACTTGCTATGTAGACTAGGCTGGCCTCAAACTCATAGAAATCCACCTGCCTCTGTCTCTGCCTCCCCTTTCTCTGGGACTAAAGGTATGCACCACCACACCTGGCCTTGGATTGAAGCCTTGATAATAAAATGGTCTTTATAAAAGTGATCAACATGTATTTGTGATCTATACACTTTAGTCTGAATGAGTAGATTGACCATACAGTGAATAATTCAGTCTTTTTTCTCCAAGATTTTCTGAAATATGAGTCTTTGTGAAAAGAGATTTTATTTTGTCTGTCCTGACCAAATCTTTAGATTATAGCGACTGGCAATGAGCATCTAATGGTTATGTATGAATGGTCACATATATAAACAGGAAAGTGAATTCTGAGACATTTCATACAGATTTTACTTATAGTAGTATATCTCTTTAGTTCGAAAGCACTTCAAAAGTCTTGATTTCCCCACAACTTTTTCTTCAGGAACTTGCACTACCAGGCCCATCCACCCTTCCACAGCTCCTAACTATCCCACAGAGGGAGCTCACCGGCTAGAATTCAGTGTGAACCACACCCAAGACCTGAACAAAGTCATGTCTGCAGTGAAAGGAATTGGAGATGTTTCTGTCACTTCTTTTGCTGCTAGGTACATTATATTCCTCTGGTTTAAAAAAGTGTTTCATGTTATTTATTTAGCATGTGAATTTGTATGGACACGTGCATACCATAGTGGTTGTGTGGAGGTAGGAAGACATCTTGGGGGAAATAGTTCCCTTTTCCCACTCCATGGGTTCCAAGGTTGAAGTCATACAGGCTTGGCAGTAAGAACCTTTCCTTACCCATTGGACAATCTTGCAGCCTCTTCTCTGCTGTTTTGTTTGCTTTAGTTTTTCTTTGAGATAGTTCTCATGATGTATGCAGGCTGGCTGTAAGCTCCTTCCCTTGCCCCCAAGTGTTGGGGTAACAGATATGAGACCACTCCTGGCTATTTTTCTTTTTTAGTTGTATTTGCTTATGTATATGAGAGTTTTTTCTGCACTTATGTCTGTGTACCGTGTATGTGCCTGGGGCCAAGGAGACCAGAAGAGGGCAATGGCTCCCCTGAGACTGGAAACACAGACAGCCGTGAGCCACTAGGTGGGTGCTCTACCAGAGCAGCCAGTGCTCTTAACTGCCAAGCCATCCCTGCAGCCCTACATACAGCGTTTTTAACCCTCCTTGTAACACTAAGAGATAAATGTTTGTACTTTAGCCGGGCGTTGGTGGCACACACCTTTAATCCCAGCACTCGGGAGGCAGGCGGATCTCTGTGAGTTCGAGACCAGCCTGGTCTACAGAGCGAGTTCCAGGACAGCCTCCAAAGCCACAGAGAAACCGTGTCTTGAAAAACCAAAAAAAAAAAAAAAAAAAAAAAAAGTTTGTACTTTAAAGGATGTAGCCAGACCCTACTGATGTTATTAATATAAGGCTCAATTTTATCAGTTTCCAGTAAAACAGTGGTTCCCAAGCACTCGAAAAACAAGTGAAAGTGTCTCTGATAAGGTCCATCACTTGGCCATTAAAGTTAGGGGAAGAGATACTCTCAATTAATTCATTCTAATGCCCATGGAAGCATCAGGAAAGAAAAGGATTGGGGTATATCAGTGGTAGAGCACATGCCTACAATGTATGGGGCCCTGGTGATTCTTAGCACTGGAAGGAAGGGAGGGAGGGAGGAAGGAAGGAGACAGGGAGGAAGGAAGGGGAGAGGGAGGGAGGGAGGGAGGGAGGGAGGGAGGGAGGGAGGGAGGGAGGGAGGGAGGGAGGGAGGGAGCAAAGGATGGGCTGGTGAGATGGCTTAGTGGGTAAAAGTACATACTACCAAGAGTGATGACCTGAGATCAGTCCCTGGGACTCACATGGTGGAAAGAGAATCCATTCC